ATATGTGTAAGGGAATGAGAGATAGTATGTATGCGTGTTAGGTAATGTTTATAGTAAATCACGGTTTGTCAGGCTGTTATACATATGTGTTATTTCATGGAAGTTAATCAGAGCGTTGAATGAATCCCCTCCTGCGAGAGGACAACCTCTTGTACGGGGACTGACCCCAGGGACCCAAACCTGGCAATCATCCATATGTGTGACATGTGCTGGGAAAATAAAAAATAAACTCGATTCACTGGTATTAGTCTAGTTGTAATTAACAGAAACAAAATCCTTTAATTGACCCGATTTATTCTAACCACTTAATAAAGGAAACGGAATCCCTCAGTGGAATTTACAAATCAAACTTTATTGACAGGGAGACGAAAACTCTGATTAAAGTCGTATTAGTCCTATGATGAAACCAGGAAAACGGAATCACTGACTTAACGGGTTCACCCTTCAAATGAAAGTGGCAGCCGCTGTTGATGTTTAATAAGCTGTTTTAGTGAAAACGCAAGTTTATAATATAGTCAAACGTGTCTTTTAGGGTAGGGTTAATTAAGCAACATGCTCACTAATCTGCCTTCATTTCCTTTCAGATAATACCAACAAGTATGGGTTTCGTCTTCAGAAGAAGCTGGCAATGCCTTCATTACATGCCGTTATAATAGCAAACAGTAATCGAGACATACGACACCAAGTTAAGCACACCAATTAGCTTTAAAAAAAACAACATTTTTTATCAATGATAAAAAAAAATCATGTTTAAATCTCAAAAGAAGCTTGCACGGCTGCTGATCTGGGAAAGGAATCAAAAGGCCATCAAACATCGTCCATTCCTCTCTACATCAACTAATACTAGTGAGGCGTGTACCTCATGTTGCAATTAAACCAGACATATTGTTTATATAATTATCAGAAAACGTGAAAGTTCGGATCGTATTTGTATAGCGTTTATATTGGTTTATAAAATTAAAATACAAAAATCACCATGAACGTTCTAATAACCGTAAACATGATACATAGTATCGCTAAATCTGTATATTATATGAAGTCGTATACAGGTATTATCGATATACATCTCGGCAACTGAAAAGGCCCTTTCTCTCCTTTCTGTGCCATTTCTGCTTCTTTATGCAAACATGAAATTATCGATTTCTTTTCCGTTCAAAGAGTAGATTACCACAGCTGTGAACAGCGGTTTATCGACATTCAGTAAGATCTATCACAGGTATCTCACTGAAAGATAAACGTTGACGAGTTCATATTAAGTCACGTGCCAATCTCAGATTCTGTTTTCACACACATTCTTGCAGTAAAGGAATATTAAGCGCCACATTTCAGTCCAAAAAGAACAAAGAGTTGTCTCCCTTTGTATCCTGATTCATGTATTGTCCAGCCGTTGCCAGTCTACCTGTACTGGGATGTCTCCAGTCTTTGTTTTGCAATCTCTCCTAAAATACATGGCGGTCGCCTCCATATACCTCTGTAAATGTCATGTGTCATGTAAAGATGCTTGGAAGACCTACATGTATCATATGTTATGACAAGAATTATGAACGAAACACTTTAAGCTTCCTACAGGATGGGGGAATCATGCTAGAATGGCAATATCTGAGCCGATGAAGTTAGTTGGAACACGCCAGAGTTCCATCAAACCCTTCCTTTCACAGCCTGTAGACATTTACTGTGCTATTTCACTCTCCGTCTTTCAATATCGTATCTCAAATCCAAGAAGTTCGTGTGAACGCCCTGCAGGAAGGAAGCGATGTTGGGTTCGAGTATAATTTGAATAAATAGTGCTTGAAGCATTGAAATCAAGGTTTTCTATGAATGTTTACATTTTGCCCTGCACATTTTGTCCTAGTTTCATCTATCTTGAGTTCGAATTACCTTTTTGTTGTTAAATACATCGGTATTCTATTTTTTTTTATTACATCAAAAAATTAATAAAAGTCGAAATCATTTTCAGTTTTGTCGAAAACAGTGCAGTTTGAAAGTTAGTCTTTGCATGTCTCATCCTTAGGTCCAATTCAATTAATCAGTATCCGAGAGGGTTCCGCGAACCAACATGCTATTCATCATGATGACGCGATACCACACGATTCCCCATCATATTCGATATTCGTTTCGTGAGAGTCAGATGGAATATGGGAATGAATTTGAGACGGCTACCATCATAGATTGACCTACATATTGTCGAGAATTCGATATTTTGGTATAAATACCACCAAAATTCTTCCAATAACTGAAAATGTTCACCAACATGAAAAAGAGGTTTGTGATGTTGATCCTCATGTTACCCCCGCCTTACTCTGATAACGTTGTAGTTGTGTAACGTTACTCGTTTATAAAGCTAATTTTGAAATAATTTTTCTCAAGTATTTTTTTAATATTATTTGAAGTTTTTTCAACAATTCATTACATATAACAAATTATATTTCAATCAGCCATGCTACATTCTCGCACAACGTTTTCTTTGCGTTGTCATTTTTTAATACTTTAAAAATAAGTATTACATATGAGATACCAATTCAGAATTACAAATATTTTCAGATACCTCCCATCTCTGTTTAACATTATATGCACTGTAGATGTTTTCTCCAGTTTAGATATGAGAAGATATCATATTCACCTGTGTAAAGTTATCAAAACGGAATGATTAAAAAAGTACGCTTAGATAATTGTACTTTTATGTTTTGATCGATACAACGCCATTCTTTATTTCCAACCGACGTTGCAAGGTACAAATGTAGATTTAATTTCACCTTTCTCTGTATATGAAAGTGCCAGTTTACCAATACATAGGAGTCAGCTACTCAAATGTAACCAGCTTCATATATTAAATAGCATGTGAAGGCAAATTGGAAAGTTTTATCATTAGTTGATTTTGAAATTGAAAAGAACACACGTGTCTTCTAGCTTTCAGAATTGTCATTAATCATATTACACAAATCAGCCATTTTGACCAGATCATTTACAACCGAAGGGTTAGGAGTATACGCTGACGGACATTTCACTTCTTCGTAAAAAAACTCCTCTTTAAGAAATTGGTGAAAAAAACCCATTTTCGTTGATAATTTTTAGTTAATTATAATTGATTTATGACGAATGTGAAAGGCACACAAGAACGAAGACATGGTAACACTCAATCTGTTTTGAATTTCACAACAATCAGGAACCTTCGGCACTTTCCGTAAACGAGAAAACTTTTTTTTTCTCGTTTGCAAGTGCCGACGGTTCACGATTGAAGTTTACAAATTTACAAAATGCGTTAAGGGAGGTAACTCTCTCCCAAAATTATGTCTACGATGAACATAAGATTGAATGTATCCCTAACTACTTGCGAATCGATTGCTTTACTGCAGCCGAAGTTTGTTAATATCTTTTAAATAAGGAATCCGATTAAATCTTCTCTGGTAATTGTGTCGCAATTTTTTTTCCATGCCTAATGTATCATTCATCCTGGATCGATTACTGGCACAACTGTACAACATATCTTCTGTGTGCCTTTTTTGCCTGCGTGTACAATTAGCTGTTTTGGTAAGGGTACGATATAGACCTAACGAACAATACATACATACTGATTAAATGTTTCACACACAATACAATACTTATAGATCAATGAATTATAATAAACACATATATAAAACAATGCATTATAATTAGTCGGCCTATGATCGTCGTTGAACCGTTCCCCACCACTGCCGCACACCAAAGATATACACGCGATGCATGTAGCGCCACAGGGACCCGATACTTAAGACATATTGTGTATATTGAGACTCTTCCTGATGTGTAGGAATTACAGTATAGTGCGTTACGTTTTAGGGATTTAAATCCAGTTAAGAAAGACGAATATAACATTAAACATATAAATCTAAATCCAAACATGTTTTTATAGGTTGCTCCAGTGGAGGTAATCACGAAAGGAGGCTAGGTTGCACTCCACCAATTGCAATTCGACCAGTAAGAACTGCGGCAGTTCTCAATGGAAACACATGTTGCGTTACTGACACTCTGAAAGACGTTGTTAACTTTTGAAGGATGGCGTTGTGTTTGTGAAACAGCTACATTAATTGTAGCTTGGTGCTTTGATTAGTATAGGAAAGTGACACTACATGGCGCTACCTGTAGACTAGGAGGCGTAAGTGGTAATGTACGAGGTTTATTTCACACTATTGAAGGGATTTAGACTGACCGGATCTGACATTATACATTTGCCGATATATAAATGCAAATTAAAAGTATATAAAGGAATGTACATATAATTTCACTAAAATCATGTAAATCCCACAGACGAGATTGTAATGGCCTACATTTGGGTTGTTGACTAGAAGTAGAATTACACATCTTACCTTTGAAGTTCGTTGATAAACTGTTTAATCGAAACCTATTTTCAAAAAAAGGCAAAGCAGTGTTACCTAAAGTTTATTTCAGTTTTTTTTATTCCAAATTCTTTTTTCCAACTCTCTCACTTAAAACCTCTCTGAATGTCCTACTATTTGTCCTGATTTAAGTATAGCTGAATATGTTCCTATTAATGGCCCCGATTTAAACTTTGAATGATTCTACTCATGACATTTTTTCTTTATTTCCTTTCCATTTTGTATATCGAAATAAAAAAAAAAATCATTCTCTTACGTGCATTCATCATCATTTGAGTAACGAAATATTAAACAGCTTGTTAGATATCTGATTTTTGTGTGATTGCATACCGGCAATCCTCTACACGTTATGTAATGCCCAAGTATTCCAATATACATGTATATTACCATAGCTCGTGGGTATACTTGAAGATTAACTCACGCGAACGGATTTAAATTAATTACAATTAATCATCACACATCTCTGCCCTCTATACGCAGTGGCGGATCCAGAGGTTTTTTTTGGGGGGGGGGCTTCAGGACCCTCTTTCAAAATCATGTATTTTCATCATTTTCCTCAATTTTCCCCCACATGGACCCCCCTCCCCCTGAA